ATGTCCAGACATTTCGTTGAGGTCAGGAGTTTGTGGACTGCGTTGGACATGGTTGATTGATTTCGTCTGCCTTTTGGCTGCAAAGTATACTGCTTCTTGGAAGGTCCTCAGCTGGGCTGATGTAGCTCGTGCGCCTACTCGTACGATGGATGAATGCGGGGTGTGTTGTCAAGCGTAGCCTTCGTTGAGCCACTCGCTAAGGTGGACTTTGGAAGGTGTTCTGTTCGGAGGCGAAGAGTCACAACTGTCCGTCACAATTTTTGTTAGAGTTCATCGTATTGTGAGTGATGTGATGGACAATGTTCCTCGATGAGGACGCGCTGCTGCGCGGAAGCAAAGGCTACCTTGAAGGATCTTACTTTATTTGAAGTCAATCTTAAACGTTGAATTTAGTAGAAATTAGTATGGAATCTTTGCTCTTTTCCCACACCTCTCTACAATCATTGTATCAACCATACTCTATTCCTCGTCAACCCTCATCAACCCTAATAAGCGAGGCATCTCTCGCCCTATTCTTTTCTTTCTTCAGTCAGTCAGTCAATCTCACACTCAAAAAAAAAAACCACCGTATAAATATCACATAAGAATCTCGCGCTCCCTCGTCATCTCACGACAACTCTCTCGCGCCTTCTTATACTCTGATATCTCTCTACTATATTCGTATCACAATTTGCTTAAAGATAAACCCGAGTTATATACACATTCCCCAACAGAAAACAACGGCGCTGGTAGATCAGTGGTTAGATTTCTTGCCTTCCAAGCAAGCGACCCGGGTTCGAGTCCCGGCTAGCGCATTTTTTTGAATGTTTTTGTATCGAGATCATCCTTTTTTTGCTCCTACGATCCCTTTTCAGCCTCCTTGCATCGCTCTTCCTCCTGTTCTAGCATCGGGAAGAGTGTTTGTCTTTTGGTCTGGCGAGTTTGTTTGAGAGTTCTGTCTGTTCTGAAAAATCTATCTGAAGGAAAGGAAAGGTTTGCCTGCCCTACAGGTTAGCTCCAGCTAGTACGGAAATCTCTTTGTTGGAGTAGAGCACGGCTTACTGAATGGTAATCATAGCTTTGGAAGTCTGGGACAACATGCAGGCGTAAAGTGAAATGATCAATGTATCGACCATTTACTGTAACAACACAACTATCTAAACGCCTTCCTACACTCTCCCACGACCAGAAAAGTGACAGCCGACGAAGGCCCCGCCTTTAACAATGACGGCCACAACCCTTTATACAGCCCCAACACTCCTTCGTGCCTGACAATCTGTCGCGCGCACGCCATCATCCCCTTTTCAGAATACCGAGGGATCGAGTCAAATATGTAGTGATTCCGATCCGGGCCTTGAACCTGCATTCGTTTTCGAACAACATCAAAGGGCATTACAGCGGTTTTACTGATAATGCCCGCCAGACCCCCGCTGAGAAACTCTAGAGAACCGTTCACCCACTCGTGTTCTTGTTTCAACCACCGGTCTTCGACTGCTTTGAAGAAATTCGAAAACAGGGATTGGGATTGGAACATGATTCCCATGTAAGGCATAATCTGCACTGCTGAAGGCCAAACGCCTCGGTAAAAGCCTCGAAGACCTTCTTTGGCTTGGATCTGTTGGATGGCGTTCAAGAGAGAGGTGTAAGGTTTTGTGTTTGGGCCTTCGCCTTGAATGGCGAAACGCGTGCGGAGGAGATCAAAGGGGTAGGTTGTGAGAGTTGCGAGGAATCCGGCGAGGGCTAACGAAATGGGTTAGTTTTTGCGAGAGGGGAGAGTACTGGTTGCAAGCCTTTACCTCCCCCCGCAAAGCTCTTTAATGTATCTGGGACATCTTTCGCGTACTTGCTCTACAAATAACATTCAGTCAAGAGAAACTTGAACAAACTGAAGCCGTTCCATACCGTTTTTAGAAACCCCGTGAGTTCATGATACGTGAAGAACTGAACGGCACCATAAGTCAGATACAGATACGCAGCTGATATGTTTCCCTTCCACAGGCCCTGAATAGACAAATCGCTCTTGTTAGTAGGTACATCATTTGGTAGAACATACGAGGAAGCTTACGCGTAGACCTTCCTCTTTAACTATGAGTCGCATGGATTGAATGATGCCTCTATACTTTTGTGGTGTTGGATTGGGTGGACGGGAGACGGCAGGGAGGCGGAGTTTCGGTGGTTCTGTTTGGAGCTATATATACCAATGTTTAGCATGCACTTGCATGTGATAAAGCGCTTTATACGTCGATCATACTTACTTGGAATCTGGGATTCGTTAGGGTGAAGGGGGGGAACGATTGAAGGAGGTGTTATCAACAAAAAGCCGTCACATTTGTCTCGTTTGTTGCGCAAGGGCTTACCTG